GCTCTCCCCACCCCGACCACGATGCTCACAGGCTGAAGAAGAGCTTCTCGTTGATGCCCGACACGCAGGAGGCCAGGGAGAGCATGAGGATGGTGGAGCCGAAGAAGACGTGGAGGGGTTTGTAGAGGGCACGGAGCCAGGCAGGAGCCCAGGGCAGCAGGAAGGCACCGAAGCCGGCCACCCACTGCGGGGACAGAAGGGCAGGGGGTGACAGGAACAAGGGGATGGGGAGAGGGAAGGCGAGAGGGTGACAGACATGAGGGGGTGAGGTGAGGGAAGGGGAGAGGGTGATAGGCATGAAGGGACAGAGTGAGGGAAGGTGAGAGAGCATTGGGGTGTGGGAAGGTGAGAGGGTGTTGGGGAGAGGGTGACAGGGTGAGGGAAGGTGAGAGGGTGACGGGCATGAAAGGACAGGGTGAGGGAAGGTGAGAGGGTGAAAGGAAAGGGTGACAGGGTGAGAGAAGGTGAGAGGGTAACAAGGTGAGAGAAGGTGAGAGGGTGGCGGGGTGAGGGAAGGTGAGAGGGTGACGGGCATGAGAGGACAGGGTGAGGGAAGGTGAGAGAGTGTTGGGGAGAGGGTGACGGGGAGAGGGAAGGTGAGAGGGCAACAGACACGAGGGGATGGGATGATGGAAGGTGAGAGGGTGATGGAGTGATGGAAGGTGAGAGGGTGACGGGCACGAGAGGATGGGATGAGGAAGGTGAGGGTGACAGACACGAGGGGATGGGGTGATGGAAGGTGACAGGGTGACAGACATGAGGGGACAGGGCAAGAGAAGGTGAGAGGGTGACAGACACGAGAGGACGGGGTGAAGGAAGGTGAGAGGGTGACGGGCACAAGGCGACAGGTTGAGGGAAGGTGAGAGGGTGACGGGGTGAGGGAAGGTGAGAGGGTGACAGGCACGAGAGGATGGGATGAGGAAGGTGAGGGTGACAGACACAAGGGGATGGGGTGAGGAAGGTGAGAGGGTGACAGACACGAGGGGCCAGAGCAGCACCCACCTGGCAGGAGAAGAGCAGGACGGTGGCCAGCCCCACCCAGCTGTGCAGCGAGTACATGTTGGGCGTCCCGTTGTCGTTGTGGAAGCGAAAAACAGCCACCAAGCCCAGCACGGCCAGGAGGAAGGCTGCCAGGGCCAGGGTGCCATGCAGCACCTTCCAGGGCAACTTGGGGCCCCTCCAGGCGGGGGGCAGGCGATACACCAGGGCTGCTGTGGGGCGAGAAGGTCAGGCAGGAGCCGTGCCACGGCCCTGCCACCCCATAACACCCCCCAACGCCCCGCTCACCTGCCCCGTAGAGCACCACCATGCCCGTCACCATCAGGACCGGGTGCCAGTTGAACATCTTGGTGCTGCCATCCAAGGCGAAGCCCCCGCGCCAGTGTTGGCACCAGGCACTGACAAAGGCCACGCAGACGAAGCCCAGGCCGCCCAGGAAGGCACAGAAGGGTAGGAAAGGTAGATCCAGCATCTCTGCCACGGGATGGAGGTGCCTGGGGAAGAGAAAGGCGTCCCCTCAAGCCTCCGCCGGGGGTTTTTCTGCCGGCACCGGCTCTCGCCTGCGTGCGGACACCCCCCAGGGAGGAGCCAGACTGAAAGGGGAACCAGGCACCCCGAGGAGAAGTGGCCCAGCTGGTCCCTGACCCGGGAAGGACGCCAGGACTGGAGCCGTCCCCAAGCTGGGGGTGAAACCGGCCCCTTCAGAGCCAGGGCAGCACCCCGCTGTGCCACCCTGGCATGCTGCACCCCGGGGCTGTGCCCTCACAGGGGGTCCAGGTGTCTCCTGTAACCCTGCACACCCCCCCTAGATTGTCCCCAAGAACCCACTGATCTCATCCCCTCCCTCTCACACACACTTACGCTCTCTTTGTCCCCCCCCCAGCACCCCCAAACTGGCACCCCAGCTTCCCATTGGCACCTCCACTTCCTCTTGATGCCCCCCCTCAGCACCTTGTACCCCTCCAGCTGCACCCACAGCACTGGGTTCCTCCCAGCTGGATGTGAGGAGGCATCCCCATACCCCCCAAATCTGGCAGCCCCCGTACCCCTTCTCCCTCCTGCCCACTCTGGGCCAGCCCTGGCACCACCTGCTCCACCAGGGCTGGGGGGACCCCCAGGTGACAGCCCCACAACCCCTGCCTGGAGCGGGCAGTGGGACCAGCAAGGCCCTGGGGTCAGCCCATGGGGCTTGAGCAGGTGACCGGCAGGAGTGTGACTGCGCTCATTTGCCTGGCGATTTGCATCTGCCTCCAGAAAGAGATATTTAAGTCTCCTCCCAGGGCGGGGGATGGCCCTTTCCACCCCACATCGGCCACCCCACGGGACCGTGAGGGCAGGACGTGGGTGGGACATGGCCCTGGCCCCACGTGGGGATCACGAGCTCAGCCGCCCACTCGCTCCAAGGCTTTGCAATGCTCACCACAGTACCGAGCAGCCCCATGGCTCCCCTGGGCCTGGCCCTATGGCTCCCCCAAAGCCTGGGCCCCAAAGTTCCCCTGGGGCTGAGAACGTGGGACCTGGCCCCACAGCTTCCCTGAAGGCTAAGCCTCAAAGTTCCCCTGGGCCTGTAGATGTGGGGCCTGGCCCCACGGCTCCCTCAAAGCATAAGCCAAAGGTTCCCCTGGGCCTGAGGGATATGGGGCTTGGCCCCATGGCTACCATAAAGCCTAGGCTCCAAGGTTCCCCTACGCCTGGGGACGTGGGGCCTGGACCCACAGCTCCCCCAAAGCCTAGCCCTGATGGCTTCCCTGGGCCTATGGACATGGGGCCTGGCCCCACAGCTCCCCTAAAGCCTGGGCCCCACAGCTTTGCTGGGCCTGGGCCCCCACAGCTCCCCCAGACCTGCTGTCACAGGGCCTCGTTACCACGACTCCCACCACACCGGGAACACGGAGCCCCGGGCCTGGGGACAGGGAGCCCGGCCCCGAAGCTCCCCCGAACCCGGAACACCGGGCCCCGCGGCTCCTTGCCGGCCCCGGGAAGAAGGAGCTGTCCCCACGGCTCTCCCAGCCCCGGGGGACGCGGGGCCCGGCCTGGTCCCGGGCCCGTACCTCAGCCCCGCCCGCCGCCCGCCGGGCCCCGCCGCCCCCTCGGCTTCGTCGGGCGCCTCCATGTTGGCCGGCGCGGCCGCTCTGGCCAGCTCGTCTCGGTGGTAGCGCCCGGCCAACCCTCCCAGGGTCGGCGACCAACGAGACGCGGTGACCAGAGCGGCCCCTGCGCTGGGTCCACCAGCCGCGCACTTCCGCCCCCCGCCTCGCCGGCCGCGCCGTTGCCATGGAGACGGAAGATGGCGGCCGCAGGTCAGCGCTGGGGCCTCCCCCGGCGGGCGGAGGGTGGGAGGCGGCGGGGATCACCAGCACCCACAGCCCCCGGCACCCCGGATTGAACCGGAGAGGCGGGCCGGGGGACACGGGGGGGCTGGTGGGGGGACGGGACACGAGCTGAGGGAGCCCCGGCGGCGCTGCGGCCTCCTCAGGGACTGGGGTGGAGGGGAAGGGGGTGGTCGAGGGGTGCGTGGGGAGGCAAGAGGGGACCTGGGGCCGCACAGGGAGGCCAAGAAGGGAGCCGGGGCCGCATGGAGAGACAAGAGAGGGCGCGGGGGCCACGCAGGGGGAGGACATCTGCATGGTGGCTGTGTGAGTGGGGGGTGACATGGGACCTGGGGGTGGCATGGGACCTGCCTCCCTCTGCCATGTCCTGCCTTGCTGGTCCCTTTCAGAGAAGGAAGGCCTCAGCAGGACACGGGGGATCCCCCATTTTCTAGCACCCACCCCCTCAAGCCCCACCTTACCTCCCTCTGTGTCACCTCCCGCTGTGCTGCTGTCCCCAGGCTGCACGAACCCCGGGATGGCCGTCAGTGTTGGGGGAAGTAGACAGGAGGGCTGTGCCTCCTCGCTCGTCCCCAGCCAGCCCCAGTTCCTTTGCTCTCTGCCTGCTCTCTGACCCGCTGCCCCAGTCCTGGGGTGGGGCGAAGGAGAGCGATGCTGGGACACGGCGTGCCCAAACCTGTCCCCGTAGCGTGGCCTGCTCAGCACAGCCCATGGAGCCCTCGGCAGGTTTAGGGGTTTGTCCAGTGCAAGAGGTGTGAGTAACCTGCCTGAAAGCTGCTCCCTGGGGCTGACACGTCTCCCTCGTCCCTGTGTTTCTTCCCGTCTCTTCGCTGACATCAGGGTGGCTCTGAGGCTGGAGGGTGGGAGGGAGAGACCGGACCTGAGGGTCCTGTGTGGTGAGAAGAGAGAGGGGAGGCAGCTCATTCATGACAGCCCGTGGGCAGAGCGTGGCTCTCCATCAGGGTGCTAAAAAGTGGCAGGAGCTGCTGTTGGTTTCATCTTGCTTTGGGTTTTCTGGCAGAAAAAAGTGCAGGGGGATGTGTCCCATCCTGTCAAACAGGATGCCCAGGAGCCAGCAATGGGCCCTGGTGGCCAAGAAGGCCAAGGGCATCCTGGGGGGCATCAGGAAGAGTGTGAGCAGCAGGTGGAGGGAGGTCATCCTGCCCCTCTGCTCTGCCCTGGGGAGGCCCCAGCTGGAGCACTGGGACCAGTTCTGGGCTCCCCAGTTCCAGAAGGACAGGGAACTGCTGGAGAGGGGACAGCAGAGGCTACAAAGATGATGAGGGGCCTGGAGCATCTCTCTGCTGAGGAAAGGCTGAGGGACTTGGGGCTTTTTAGTCTGGAGAAGAGAAGGCTGAGGGGGGATCTGATCAACACCTATAAATACTGAAAGGGTGGGTGTCAGGAGGATGGGGCCAGGCTTTTTCCAGTGGTGCCCAGGGACAGGACAAGAGGAAATGGGCACAAACTTGAATATAAGAAGTTCCACCTAAACATGAGGAGGAACTTCTTTGCTGTGAGGGTGGCAGAGCCCTGGCAGAGGCTGCCCAGAGAGGTGGTGGAGTCTCCTTCTCTGGAGACATTCAAACCCACCTGGACACGTTCCTGTGGGACCTGCTCTGAGTGGACCTGCTCTGGCAGGAGATGATCTCCAGAGGTCCCTTCCAACCCCATGGCATTCTGTGATTCTGTGAAACGAAACCTCTGCTCCCCCTCCAGGTCCCAGCTTTAGGAAGAGGCGACGCTGAGCCCCTCACAGCTCCGGACCATGAGCCGGTTCTGCCGCTGGGGATGCCGGGGCTGAGGGCTCCAACCCCAGGAGAAGGAAGATGCTTCAAACCAGCAACTACAGCCTGGTGCTGTTCCTGCAGTTCATCCTGCTTTTCTACGACCTCTTTGTCAACTCCTTCTCGGAGCTGCTCCGCACGGCCCCCGCCGTCCAGCTCGTCCTCTTCATGTGAGCACCAGACGGGTGGCACAGGTGGCATGGTGGGGGCTGGACGCCTGGACTTCTCACCACCTCTCTCTCACTTCTCCTACAGCATCCAGGACATCGCCATTCTCTTCAATGTCATCATCATCTTCCTCATGTTCTTCAACACCTTCGTTTTCCAAGCCGGGCTGGTCAATCTCCTCTTCCACAAGTTCAAGGGGACCATCTTGCTCTCGGCAGCCTACCTGGCACTCAGCATCTCCTTCCACGTCTGGGTTATGGTAGGTTTGGGTGGGCTTGGGGCTGTTGGCTTCTCCCCAGAGCAGGTGGCACGGGCAATGGGTCTCCTCCTTTGCTCACCACAACCCCCTGCTCCCTTCAGTCCCTTTCCTGTGAGAAGAAAGCCATGATCTACCAAAGCAGGGACAGTTTGGCATCCCTCTGTACGACCCCATTGTAGACATCAGGCTGGAAGGGAGCTGCCCCATCCTGGCTCCTTCCCTCTGAGGAGAAAGACCTGGGAGTCCTGGTGGACAACAGGATGCCCAGGAGCCAGTAATGGGCCTTGATGGCCAAGGAGGCCAATGGCATCCTGGGGGGCATCAGGAAGAGTGTGAGCAGCAGGTGGAGGGAGGTCATCCTGCCCCTCTGCTCTGCCCTGGGGAAGCTCCATCTGGAGCACTGGGACCAGTTCTGGGCTCCCCAGTTCCAGAAGGACAGGGAACTGCTGGAGAGGGGACAGCAAAGGACTACAAAGATGATGAGGGGCCTGGAGCATCTCTCTGCTGAGGAGAGGCTGAGGGACTTGGGTCTGTTTAGTCTGGAGAAGAGAAGGCTGAGGGGGGATCTGATCAACACCTATAAATACTGAAAGGGTGGGTGTCAGGAGGATGGGGCCAGGCTTTTTCCAGTGGTGCCCAGGGACAGGACAAGAGGAAATGGGCACAAACTTGAATATAAGAAGTTCCACCTAAACATGAGGAGGAACTTCTTGACTTTGAGGGTGGCAGAGCCCTGGCAGAGGCTGCCCAGAGAGGTGGTGGAGTCTCCTTCTCTGGAGACATTCAAACCCACCCTGGAGAAGATCCTGTGGGACCTGCTGTGGGTGGCCCTGCTCTGGCAGGGGGTTGGAGGAGATGATCTCCAGAGGTCCCTTCCAACCCCACAGCATTCTCTGATTCTGTGACCTGCTGGAAAATCCTCTTTCCCCAGGGAAGGGCCAGCTCTTGCGCTGGCACAGGAGCCCGCCCCGGGGTAATCCCCGCTGAAGGCCGTGACAGCAGCTCCTGGTTTACCTGGAATTAATCCCCAGCAAACACCAGCGCTCAGAGCTTGGGGACAGTCCCCTCCTCGCTGCCATCGAGTGCCACCAAGGGCTTTTGGGGGGTCCTGGCTCCATCCAGAAATCATTTTCCCCTTTTTCCCCCTTAATCCCTCCTGTCCCCTTCCCCAGCCCCGAAGGAGCAGCCCCCACACCCTCTCCCCACCCTCTGGGCAACCTCCAGCCTCTGGGCAACGGTCCATCCCCACCTCAGTGCCCCGGGGTGGGGGAAACGCTTCGAGCTGGGCTGGTAGCCACCAGGTTGCCCGAGCAGGCCAGCGTGCCCGTGGCTGCCCACGCCATCCGGGCTGGGGATTTGAGAGGGGGATTTAGGAGGATCTGAAGTTCTGAAGCCAGAATAGGTCCCGGCTCGCCGGCTAAATCCCCCTGAGCTGCTTAACCTTTGGGGTGGGGGGCTAGTCCCCCCAGTGGCCACCGTTGCCCCTGGCCCACGAACAGCCCCCAAACTTAACATTTTTGTCTCCCTGGCCGTCTGTCTGTCCCTCTGTCTGCCCCAGAACCTGCGGTGGAGGGACTCCAGCCGCTTCGTGTGGACAGAAGGCCTACAGACCCTTTTTGTCTTCCAGCGGCTGGGTAAGGACTCACCATCCCCAGCACCACTTGGAGGGGTGTCGGGGGGTTCCCCCCTCTTTTTGGGGACAAAAATGGGTGCCCCCACCCCCCCTCACCCCTTCCTTCCCTCCCGCAGCCGCCGTGCTCTACTGCTACTTCTACAAGAGAACCGCCGTGCACCTGGGGGACCCCCTCTTCTACCAGGACTCGCTCTGGCTGCGCAAGGAGTTTGCCCACTTCCGCGGGTGATGGGTCCCCTGGGGCTTTGGGCCACCCAGCCTGGCTACCCGGCTCTGCTCCCCACTAGCCCCCGTTGCCGACGGGGACCGGGACTCCGGTGGGATGCCGGGAACGGGTGGAAAGCCGGCAGTGGCGTGTCCCCATTCCACATGGGGAAGGTCCATCCTGGTGCCACGGCCCCTTTTGGGGTTTGAGTGGGTTTTTTTGTAAATGGTATAAAAAAGAATAATAAATTGGCTGAATTTTCCAGAATTTTTCCATCATTTCCTGACGTCTTGTGCGCCCTGTGTCCCATCCCCTCCTCTTCCCGTCCTCCCAGCCTTACCCACGCCTCACGGAATTCTCACCTCGCGGCGTGGGCCGCTCGTTGTCACATAGGAACGGAGGCAGAATTAATTAGAGGGCGACCGAGGCTACCAGCCCAGTAGCCCGCCTTTGGCCGGCGGCGGGATTCGAACCCGGGTCTCCGGAGCTCGAGTCCTCCCGAACCATAGAGAGGGAGGGAGAGAGCGGCCGAGGCGCGCTGCCGGGAGCGAGGGCGGCGGTTTCCATGGAGATGGAAGATGGCGCCCAGGAGTGAGTGCGGGGCCGCGGTGGGGAGCGGGGCCGGGGGCCGCCTCCGGTGAAACGGAGGAAGAAA